AAAATGCTTTATCTTGTATCAGCGGGAATGAGATTCCCTCATGTGGCACCGCCTTCTTCTGATGCGACGTGGGCTGCAAAGCGGATGAGCCAAAGGTCAGATCTGGCTCTTACGCTGCCCACACACCTGGGGCATCACAGCGTCCGTCACCCACAGGTTGCCATCGCTGCAGCTGTTGAGAGAGACTTCCCTGAGAAGCTGGTTGTCTGGGGCTCTGAGGGGGGGCGCTGCACCCCTGCTGCTTAGTCCTGCAAGGGAGGAAGATGATGAGGGCGGGGGTGGATCTCCCGGGAACACCATCACATCACTGAGGGTTTGGCCCCGACCTAGGACTGACTGGTTCCTTCAGGTGATCTGAGGTGGTGGCCCAGGGATCAAAGCCAGTTCTTGGTACAGGTTGAGCATTTGCGGTTTCCAAGGTCGATGGGCAAGAAGTGACCCGTTGGCTCTCCGGGTCCATGGAGGGAAGAGCCTATTCCAGTCGCACCGGTCACCTCAGTCCTGTTGTACAAACCCCTCCCAACAACGTACCAGTCAGACAGGGACGTGTTTCTGAAGGGCGTTGGTGAGGAGACTTGACGCTGGCTTTGGAAGAAGTCTGCCTTTGGCTTTCCCAGGGGTAGGGTGGAGTGCGCCTCTCTTCAATTTTCAGGCCTGTGTTCGAATCCTTTCTTGTAGCTCCAGGAAGGCAGGAATCTAAAACGGAGATTCCCAAAGGAATGCACCTCCACCTGAACTTGGCTGTGAGCAAGTTGGGGACACCTGGCCGATTAGCTGACAGATTGGGTCTCAGGTTGGTCTTTGGACGCACCGTACTTTCTCCTACCTGCGGCCAGTGCGAGGGTCTGCTAACCCCCAGAGACTCCTTCAGTCAGTGAGTCAGGTGGAAAGTGCATGATGGGTGCTGTGATCCACCCAACTCCATTGGCGAAGCAGCTGCCCCTGACCCTGGGACATACCTGGGTCTTTGGGGAGGCAGGGAGAACCCAATGACCATTTCAAATCCTACTCCTCCCCCCGCCCCAAGTCTCTGGGCCTTGATTGCTTCCTAACCAGCCCACCACGGAGGGCTTGGCCCAGGCTCAGAACCGGTACCTTCTGGTTTGACTCTCGGCAGCCTTCTGCCCCCACCACCCCCATACACTGAGTCCAAAGCTCCATTTCAACAAGATGCCCAGGAGCATCTCACAGATCCCTGGTTGATCGGACTCAGCGACAGAAAGAATCCCAGAGAGGCCGAGTTTAGATCTCATCTAGGCCTTCTGGCACTTTCCTGAACATCTTGGGTCCCTGGTTCTGAGCAGGCTCAGGGCTCTCACTGGTGCTAGAATGCAGTTAAGGTGTGTTTGGGTGGGGCACCCTGCGGCAGAGTCAGCTTTGGGTGAGCGTAGATTAATCCATAGTCCTAAATTCCAGATTAATTAGAGGCCTGCCTCCACTGTTTCCCTAAGCAACGCCCCCCTCCCCCCCAAAAGCCATTCCTTACAGCATCCCAGATGCCTCAGGATGTTGGGGCCCTGACAGGAGAAGCAGGGCTTGGTCAATTGCACTCTCTGGTAACCGCCTTTGGAAGTGGGCTGAGAGCAATGCCTCTCAGTTGCATCCCACAGCCAATCCCGCGTGACATCGCTTTGCAGAAAGGGGTGACAGGGTCTGGCTCGGTCCATACCTGCACGGCTCGGGTGTGTCAGGTTGCAGCAGTTCACATGAACGGAGGCACAGGCAGCTCCCTTCCGGGCCGAAAGGGAAGAAGGGGGCCTTACTCACAGCCGCTTTGAGGACCAATCTCAGTTGCCCACTCTGGTGGTGGCTTAGGGGAGCTCTTCTCTCCGGGTTCGAGGTCCTGTGCTCGTTGTGCATCAGGCGTGAGTTACTGCCACCCAGCCGTCTTCGCCTGTACGAACTTTTCCGAGGAGAGGTGTACCGCTTCCTTTCTGGGGTGGGGAGGGTGTCAGAGCTCATTGGGAGTGACAGTACCTGCTCCTCCCTTTAACACTGTTCTGTCTGCTTGAATTCCAGCAACAGGGAGCTGCCACCACGGTGTACTGCGCTGCAGCGCCGGAGCTCCAGGGCCTGGGAGGGATGTACTTCAACAACTGCTGCCGCTGCACGCCCTCGCCCGAGGCCCAGAACGAAGACATGGCCAGGGCCCTGTGGGCCCTCAGCGAGAGGCTGCTCCAGGAGCGACTGGGTAGCCCATCCGGCTAAGCGGGGTGCCCCAAATGATCAGCACACTCCCCCACCTCCAGCACCCCCTCCCCTTTTCTCAGGGCATCCCCTAGCAGCCAGGCCCAAAGCAAGAGTTGTCACAACACAAAGCAGGACCTGAAGCCCCACAGGGAAGGCCCGGGTTGAGTTCGATGTGGGTACAAAACCTTCGTGGGCTTGAGGGTCCCTTCAGTCACCTGGTGTCCTGGGCCCTTCCAGTTGCCACCACGATAGCCAGCTTTCAACCTGCATGAGCTGTTGGTCCATTCAAGGCTTGTGTGCCCGCCAGCCCAATTGGTGGTGGTACCAAGACCCGGATGCTCTGGATGCCCTAGCCAAACAGCTCTAGCTGAAAAAAATAATTCCTTTAGAGATCGCACCCAACACATTTTTGCAAATCATACCCTAACGAACTTGACAGGCAGGGATGGAAGCATCAGGTCCAAGGAGGTGAAAGTGGTCAGAAGGTGTTTGAGTGGCAGCTCCATCCCCAGGAGGAAGAGGTACCCAGCTCTCTCAAGTTCAGTCTCCGTTGTCCCGCTTCACCTTATGCTGAATAAAGAACATGCTTGGATAGTCTCACCTGAAGTTTGTATTATTTCCTTCAATGTTCATTTCAGTTTTCGTTTCACGTGTGTGGTTTTTGCTTTTTTAGAAAAGAAATACGTAGAGGAAAAAAATAAAGCGCTTCTTGAAGACGCCAGGGAACCACCGTTCTCCTCTCTCTTCTCTGAGTTTTTTGTGTTTTTGTGCTTTGGGGCTGGCTACAGGCCAAGTTGTCTCACGCGATGAGCATGCCAGCATCATATTTTCTGTTGAGAGAAAGAGAAACGTTAAGTGACTGTGGCCAGGGCTCACCTTAAAATGCCTCGCTGTTGACCTTTCCCCTCGTCCCTCGTGGTTTGTCCTCCGCTTCTTTCCCCAGGACGAGGTCATTAGAAGGAACCCTAGTGGTGCCGCACGGGGGTGCACGTTGGACATCTAATCACAAGGTCAGCAGTTCGACCCCACCAGCTGCTGAGCAGGAGAAAGGTGAGGCTGTCTGCTCCTGTGAAGAGTTACCGTCTCCGAAATCCACAGGGGCAGTTCCGCCCTGTCCTCTAGGGGTCACTCTGAATCGGAATCATCGACTGGACGGCAGTGAGTGTGAAGGTCATTAGGGACCCTCTGAATCCAGATAGAGGAGTTTGGGGGCTCTTTCTCACTCATCCCTGCTCACTTATGCCCTAATCCTTTAAAAGACATTCATCAAGGGCAGAAGGAAGACCTCTTGGGCATGACACAGGATCTCTTTCTGAGATCCTAGGGAGGCTCCAGGCCTTTGCTTCAGTGGGGTAGCCTTCAGGGAACATTGTCCCACCTGGCCATGTTGTTCCTTACAAACCCCTCCTGATGACAGAGACTTTTGACCCAGGAAACAGGTCTACCTTTCAAGTCAGCATACCATGCTCAGGAGTAGACTGTTCGCTCAACGGCTGTTGGAACTCTCACTGACTCCACAGGGTGAGTGGTCACCTCCCCCAGCAGCCTGGCCACCTAGCTGTCTGGCCAGTTTGCAAAGGGCTTGTGTCCTTTCTTGCTTTTCCTTGGAATGCTGCCGCTGCCCTCATGTGAAGGAGGTCATCCCACACTAGCCAGCCTCAGATGAAAAGGTCCAACCCAGTCCACCCACACAATTGCAAGCAGTCGAGTTTGTAAAATTAAAACCACTGAGGTTTGGGGAACAAATTATAGAATTCTGCCACCTTTGGCAGTCTGAAGTTGTCCAAACAGGCAATCAAGGTGCACTGAGAATTACTGGTAATTGGAATTTCCTAGTTGGAAACAGAGGAAGGAAAATGTGGCCTTGGGGATAGAAATGAAGTTGGCATTCACATGATAGAGTTTTGCCGGCCGGTGAGTTAATCTCAAATACCCTTTTTCAACAACGTGAACATTATGTGCATAGACTTTGCCAGGTGGCATACACAGGAATTCAGTTTAATGCATCTGTGGAAAGAGACAATGGAGAAGCTCATTGTCAGTATCAGCAGTCAGAATGAGTCCAGGGATTGACTGTGGAACAGACCATTAATTGCTCATATGTAAGTTCAGATTTAAGTTAAAGAAAATTAGAACAAGTTCCTGAGAGCCAAAACAGAATCTTGTGCATGTTCCTCCTGAATTTGACTACTGATAAAAGGTCTGATGAGCTGTGGTATCATGATCATCACACGTGTAGGGGAGGGAGGGAAAAAAGAGGATTTGATAAGGACTCAAATAGGAAGATATTTGGAACATGATGATGGCAATATATGTATAAATTTGCTTGATATAATTGGTATAATATCTGTAGGAGCCTCTGATAGAATGCTTTCTTCATGAATGATGGGTTTTTTTTTAATCAAACAGTCATTAGAAAGACAAAGATCAAAGTGGATGTCTGAAGAGATTCAGAAACTTCTTCTCGATCACAGATCTGCTAAAGCAAAGCGAAGAAATGATGGAGTCAAAGAACTAAACGAAGGGTTTCAAAAGCTGGCTTGAGAAGCCCAAGTACTACAGTGAAACATGGCAAGACCTGCAGCTAGAAAGCCAAAACAGGCGGCAACACTTAGCATGTCTCAAGCGGAAAGAACTGCCCCCCCCAAAAGCACAAGCCTTGAGCTGTGAGATTGAAAGATTCTCTGGGCAAAATATTGAGCAAGACAGGAAGCATCAAAAGGAAATGGAAGGAATACACAGAGCCACTGGACAAGAGAACTGATTGACATCCAAGCACCTCAAGATGTGGCATCTAACCATGAACCACTGGGATCAAGGAAGAAGTCCAAGCTCCACTGAAGGCAGTGGCCTAAAACAGGGCTGCAGGAATTGGAGGAATACCAATGAAAATGTTTCAACAAGCACCACTGGTGGATGCAAGCTGCCTGGACTGACTGCAGTGGGCTCAGAGACGGATCTGACAGTCCACGGAAGAGCACAACCCTGGGGATTGTTCTACTCTGTCCTAGAGAGTCACTGCGAGGTCGAGTCATCTTAAGAGCAGATTCACCCCCACCATCACGGCACCTACAGATGGCAGAATCCCAGGCACTGTTATCTCAGCACTTACCCTGCTCCTCTGTCAGCTGCTCAGCTGCGCAAAAGGCGCAGGTGTTTTATGTGCTGATGATGAACCAGAGATCGATCGAGGGAGGACAAAGCAAGCCATCCCGAGCCCCAGGGCTGGTGAGTAGCTACGTGTTCAGGATGGGAAGCCCAGTCTGATCCCAGAGGCTCTTCATTGCACCCTCCTGTGTGATGGGTGGCTCCGTGGGATGTGTTGGGCTGCTGACCACAAGGCTGGCTGTTCCAATCCACCGGCTGCCCTGTGGGACCACAATGAGGCTGGCTGCTCTTGGACGTGCTCTGTGGGGCTGCCATGACTCAATTGACTGGGTTGGCAGTGGGGTTGGTTTTAGAATAGCTCCGTCAAATGTAGACCCTGGGTCGGGTGGGGGGCTCACAGACACAGACTCAGCTGGCTTCCGGCTCAAGAATGGCCCTGCTCCTGATACTCAATGCCAAGGATCCAGTTTAAAGAGGGTTTGTGTAGCATCCATTTATCTGATGCTCCTCTCTCTCTCACACACCGCACCCCTCTCCCTTCCCAAGCTCTCCTGTTCAGACTGTAAGTGGGTCTTGTCCCTGGCCTTCTCTCCCTGGTCTTAGCTTCTCATTGGCCAGTTTCCCACCGTGTCCCCAGTGCGACAGAATCCTCCAGAAATAGGCTGGGGAGTTTGTTTCAGTTTCTCTCCCTCGAGTGTTTTTAAAACTGAAGGACCCTCCTCCCCAACCCCTACATCAGGCTCCACTTTAACAGAGCCCTTTCCACAACTTCTCAAGAGCTTAAAGAGCCCCTGGCCATGACAGGGCGGAAGCCCATGGCTTGTGCTTTTGCTCTTGAAAACGGGCTTAGGGGTGGTTTTGTTCTGAACATCAAGGACAGAGGCCTGATAACTTTCATTAAGGTCAACAGTAGACCAGATGGATTTGCCTTGCAAAATGCCCACTCAGTCCAGTTACCATTTTTTGAAAGTTTGCATGAACAGAAAGTCAAATAGCAAGGTTCTTCCCGTGCACAAACTCACCGTACCTTTCAGACATACAGGCTGGTGATGAATATTGGTGGTGGACCTCATCTTCCAGTGCCGAATGATGGTACAAGCTGTTAGCCATGATCTCGCTGAAAACTGACCCTAACTTGCTGCTCAAAGGATCACATCCCAATAAAGGGTTTTTACAAAGAACACACAGCAGGTATTTACACTCACCATGCCAAGGTGTGCACCCATCCCTGTCCTGTGACGACAACATGCTCACGTCAATAAGACATGCATGTGAGCACATGCACACGGAAGACTTGGAAAAGGTCAGTGGAAAATGGAATTTTCCATGGAATTTTTGGCACCTTTTGTATAACACACAGAAAAGCTGAGATTAAATAAAGCCCTCTGGCCTGGAGCGCCTGTCCCCCAATTGCTCACACTGCATGTCATCTCCCGATGCCCTCATTCACCCCTTCTCCAATATTGCAGGCACATCATATCTTTAACCTCCGTGTTTGGTACACACTGGGCTGCGATCCACCAGGTGCACCGTTTGAAACCACCAGACGCTCCGTGGGAGAAAGATGAGGCTTTCTACTCCCATAAACAATTACAGGCTCAGACGCTCACGGGGACAGTTCTCCCTGCCCTAGAGGGTCACTATGAATCAGACTTGACTCGATGGCAGTGAGGAGCAGCACACATATAAAATGTTTCTAAACATGCTACTTCTGAGCACAGTTTTATCATAAAAAGGGTATGTTGGGAGGTCGACACGGACCCATAGCAGCCCCGGGCACTAACAACAAAACCCTGCCCGGTCCCGCACCATCCTCACCATTGTTTCTGTGCCCGCCCTTTACTGCAGCCTCTGTGTCCATCCATCTCACTGAGGGCCTTTCCCTCTTTGCCTATTAGATGCTTACATAATCAAGACACAAGCCACGGTTCATCAATCATGGATTGTACCAGAAGAACTAGATGGTGCCCATCTATGCTACCAGCTGCTCTGACAGGGATCCCAGGAGAAGGTCTTGGCTAGAGTGGAAGAAAACCATGGAGCAAAATTCAGCATCATGAAAAAGGCCAGGCTTCCTGGTCAGATCACCAATGAGGAGGCCCTGAGATTTTGAGCCCTCCTCACCGCTTAGGTCTGGACATGAGCTCACTGCATTGGCTTAAAGTCGAGCCAAACAACAGAGAGGTCTGTCAGGGGAACAGCCACACTAGTGAGGCACAAACACCTTGCAATCATCAGCCACTGGAAGTCAAAAGGACACTGTGCATCCAAAGGCAAAGTTCAGGAGGGTTAAGGAAGGGAGGAGGAGGGGAAACAGCAAGTAACATCCCTTCATGGATCTTGCAATCCATGAGACAAAAACAAAACGTGCAGGTCTCCAGCAAGATGTCAGACACGCCAGACAGACCCTCCCCAACAGAGACGTTGGAGACCAGATGCAACCGACATGGATGAGAATCCCGGACCCTGAGCGTCAGAGGAGAACTGGA